GAAGGTGGAATGATTTGGTGGGACTTAGCAGATGATCTTTAACGGAAGATCTGAGCAACTGATTTGAAGGCATTCACGCCACCTATAGCTAAAGAGTCTCTCCGCCTATCTCGCGCGAGCCTCATTTTCGAAGCTAATTCAAATATTCCAACGATTCTTAGGCGAACTGATAATGAGCTCTCGGAAGGATTTTTAAGCTTTTTTCATAGCTTTTTAATGTATATGTATATATTGAAGGGTTACAGACAGAGCCCTTGATGACCCTATTTATGTACAGTGCTTTCGCAGATTCATACTCAAAAATAAAATAAAATTGCAGGCATTTAAAATGTGATTGGGTCACAGTTCAATCGTAATCATAAGGTAATGCATAAGGTCACTGCTAATTAGTGCGGAAGATTGTATATGACAGATTCTACAAAACTGTCTGTGCATAGTCCTGCTGTACAAGCCGATTTCTGCCGAAAACTAGACGAGCAAGTTTTCTTTTAAACACAAAAACTGTGTCAGCCGTCACCATCTCGCTTGGAAGCGAGTTCCACGGCCTGACAACCCGCTGGCTGAATGAAAATTTTCGTCGGTCTAAACGCGTGCGCTCATTCCCGACTTTGTATGCATGGCGGCGTAGTTGGTTTGTACGGGCGAACTCAAAGAAGTCCTCTGCTCTTAAAGAGCAACCCTGACCGCGAACAATCCGGAACGTCCAGAGTAGACTGCAGTTTATTTGTCTATAAGAGAGAGGGAATTGGCCAAGCAAATTCAGCCTCTCCTGATAAGACAAATGCTTTAGACCACCGACCATCTTTGTCGCTCTGCGTTGCACCTGTTCGAGTAAGTTGATATCCTTTCTCATCCATGGTGAAGCTGCTGGCATTAAGTGCTGGTAGATTAAGTGGTAACTCTTAATTATATCATTAGAAACCCCTGTTTTGAATTGGTTTCTAAATCCATCGCTATCCTTCCCCCCCATAGCGAAAATTTTCGCGGTTTTTGATGTCATCTCCCGCATTCCGACCTCATGCGGTCTGTCGACACTCACGGCTGAACCCTCAGTATTCACTGTCTACTAGTAGTTCGGTCGTACCTCCCTTCCTCACTGCTCGGCTGAGCTCGAAGCGTGCTGTGGCCGATCGCATCTCGGTTCCTCTCGTCTGGCCTCTTTGACGCGGCGTACCAATCAGGCCCAGACGATCTCAATTGTGAATCCCGTATACAATGCCATTTGCAAGCCAGTTCTGTCTGACCCACATTCGTACCCATCAAGGCGGACATTTATTGATACCCTGACGATGACCGACAACATTCCGTTATATACAGCCACCTACAGGCCAGTCCTGCTCGCTTTTTTCTGTTATTATTTTTAAAGAGGGGTTTTTTCTCCTGTAAAATTAATCCAATCATTTTTAACTTTTTCTTAGGAGTTTTTTTCATCCCTCAATCATCATGTTTCTCAATGGACTTCTAATTTAGAAACTATGAATTGCATTTTGTAAAGATTCGGCCTACCTCGTCTAAAACTCGTATGCAAATTGATTTTAACTTGCTTTGATGGGACCCCGACGGGTCTTTAATAAACATTATCTATCTATCTATCTATCTATTCCATATTTTAGATGAGGTCTTACAAAGACACCAAAGAATCTTTTGAAGAGTTTGGGAGGAAATATTTTAAATGCACGTCTGATCCAGTGTAGAGTACTAGTTGCCTTCTGGACCATCTTTCTACAGTGTTCTGATGGCGATAGATTTGTGGTCGTCCATACACCCAGATCTCTGTGTCTTTCCACAGTTTCTAACCTCGTCCCGACAAATATAGTACTGGTGTTTGAGAGAGGCATTGCGGTCGGTGTTCAGGTGCAAAACCACGCATTTGGACACGCTAAACTTTAAAAGCCATCTGTTCGACCAAGCACACAGTTTGTCGATTTTCGACTGCAACTTCTCTGCGTCATCATCACACTTGACTTCACTCCATATTTTTATGTCATCCGCGAACATGAGAGCCTCGCAATTCACTTCGCTGATGCAGTCATTAACATAAATCAGGAAGAGTACTGTGACTAAGACAGAACCCTGTGGGACACCACTTTCCACCTTTACCCATTCCGAGGTAGAATTACTAACGACGACTCTTTGTAGTCTGGAGGACAGAAAACTCCTGATCCACTTAAACATTCTTCCTTGAATTCCTACATCCCAGATCTTCCGTAAAAGAAGCCTGTGTGGGACACTGTCAAAGGCCTTCTTGAAGTCAAAAAATATGACATCTACTGGAAATCCCTTATCGGTAGCTCGTGTCCATTTCTCGTGTGAGTAAAGAATACTCGTTAGGCAGGAGCGCCCTGGACGAAAGCTGTGTTGGGCATCACACAGTATTTTGTTCTGTTCCAGGTATTTCATCAGGTGTCTTTTGATAATGCGTTCCATTATTTTACACGCGATGCAAGTAAGACTGGCAGGACGATAATTTTCGCAGTCAAGTCTTGAGCCTCCTTTATGGATCGGAGTAATGGGTGCGCACTTCCATTCTTCCGGTAGCTCGCCGTCTTCAAATGACTTTTGAAATATTGCGGATAAGGGTTTGCACAGTTCATTAGCAAGTTCACGAAGTGTTAGGGCGGGAATTCTATCTGGGCCAGGCGATTTGGCAGGTTTCAGCCGGAGTAACTCGGCCCTAACTATGGCAGATGAAAAGAATGGTTCCTTGGCTAAGGAGGGTAGGGAGGGGTAGGAGGGGGAAGGGTACTGGGAGGAGAAGTTGGTTGGCGAATGGATGTATGGCCAAATATAGAACTAGGTTCTCGGGTAAAGACGGACTGAAAGAAGTCGGAAAGGAGGAACGCTTTAACCTGGTCATCAATCTGTTTTTAAGAAAATGTGAGACAATGGGGAAAGTGGCCCTCGATTTGTCTATAAGCAATATATTGACAGTCACTGTCGGACGCACTGGTGAACCTGGTGGATACATCTACTTCGCCACGTCCCGATGCCCAGCTCCTATCTGTCACTCCATGAAGTAGTTCTCAGCACCACTGCTACACCCTGTGGTCGTCTACGACCGGTGGTGGAAACCAGATGGTTATGTCCATTGTGCGTGTCTTCTAACCCAGTAGTCACTGGGATAATTCTCAAACTCCCCTCCACCGCGAACAAAAACGCCCCACAGAGAGGGTGTCATGCAATCTCATAGGTGACCCAGACTGATTCGCTTCGTCTTTCAGCTTAATAAAAGTCGCGACCGATAGTGAAATCCGGCAGCTGCCTGAGATTGTCATTAGCAGAGGTAGTTCTGTTTACTCCTTCGAGGGAGAGAGGGCTATAAAAGATGCTGTAAGACGCTGCCGATACAGTACATCACTGCAAACTGGTCGTAGCCATACGCACTTATAGACGCAAGGGGGACCGAGAACTCTCTGATTGCCACAGAAGCATCTCCCTTCTCAAGATTGCAGACAAACTCTTCGCCCGGGTTCTACTGGAGTCCCTGAACATGTAGTCACAGCGTCAATTCCAAAACCAGCTCGAAATCAGGGATGTGGAATTCGCGGATCGGCGGCTACAGAAAGTTCCAAGAAGCGATGCCCAACTTCCATACAACTTCATGGAGCCGACGGAGGCCTTCAACAAAGTGGACCGCGATGGACTCTGGAGAATCGTACAGAAATTCGAATGTCCATTGCGATTCACACACGTGATGCGGTAGCTACAAGACGAGATGTAAACGCGCGCCAGGAAAAATGGGGCTGCAGCAGTCGGAGCGTGGTCGCCGCGCGGCTACTTGCACTTCTGTCCGCCTAATGCTGCCCGTCAATTCGTTGCCGGAGCCGCCCGAGAATTAGCAACCACATATCAACTCTGCCCCTTCGCTGATCGGCTGCAGACAGATGCAGGTCGGACAAAGTAAAGGCACACACACGCGCTGAGAGTTAAGGGCCTCAGCGACGAATACTGACACACGCACGCTTACGAAAACTATTTGCTGAACCTCCTGTGCGCACATTCGCATCAGTATAGCTTGTTCTATCTAATCTGTCTTACCTGACCTGTAATTTGGGGACCTTCGGGTTTTCGATCCCAATGTTTTGACCGCGTTGACCCTGAAGCATCTGCAGTGAAATGGGACAAGATAGGGCTGCGCACCTGCTTTCAACCTGTCCAGTCTGGTGTTTACGTCCATGCTGATGGGCGCCTACCGTTGGGATGGGCGGAAACAAACACTGACTATCGAAGTGATATGTTGCATCCGTTGCATGCAAGCCTCCTCGAGAGTATCCAGAACTAGCGTTCAAGACATACTGCTTTCGGACGACTACGTGCTAAACTTCACAACCGAATAGGACATGCACTGCATTGTTGATTACTTCGGACTGATCAGTAACACGTGCAGGACAGTAATCCTACATCAACCGGCACCAAATGTTGACTACAACGAACCCCATATCAACATCCGCGGAACTCAATCCACAGCAGCAAACAACGTCATGTAGCTTGGAAGTACATTTTAAAGAAACATCAAGGTTGACAAAGAAATTGCATGTGGGACCTGTGAAACCAGACAGACCTACCACCGCTGACAGCACTTAATCGAGAGCCGTTGCGACAACCTGCGCAGAAAAAACTGCTGATCCGCCCAAGTGTCTATGTCGTGTACCTACGGGTGATCGCAAACAAGGAGAACAAAAGCGTCCCTATAAGGTTACCTTGAGGATTTCTCCCAAATACCTACAAATCAACCCTGAGACCTGTGAGGGACGCAACCGAGACCGGCCGGCGCGACGTACCACCGTGAAGACTGAAACATTTGCCTTCAAACACAACCGAACAGCCACTGCCTAGTCAAAGAGAAAAATCCGCAAGACTCAACTGCCACAGGCTAGCAGCACGAACCCCCCAGCCCCAGCCATGGTGCCCAAGCTGACGATGGAAATTCTGGGCACATATCGACCTCATCAGACATCTGCGAACCCAGTTTAATGGCAATGACAAGCCTGCTTCCCATCTCAGAACACCGCCCCTCCTCCTCCTAGTCCATCATCATCATCATCATCATCATCATCATCATCATCATCATCATCATCATCATCATCATCATCATCATCATCATCATCATCATCATCATCATCATCATCATCATCATCATCATCATCATCATCATCAGCATCGTCGTCGTTGTCGTCGTCATCATCATCATCAGTTAGGACGGTCCTTCTCGCCTGCTAGCTTCTTCCCCCTGCCACTCCCCTAAGACCACGTTCCCCTTCTACAGTAACCATGCAAACCCATTTTGACATGGCCGATATTGCGAGCGAACTGTCTCAGCTCAAAGTCTACGCGACTCCGTAATTGCTGCCGTACATGCCGAACGACCTAGATGCAGTCCTTTATCAGGTGTCAGTCACTGCGCCCAATTCCCTCATTAGTTGACTGACATGTTCCGGCACTTGGTTGGTGGCTAGAAGAGGGAAGAGTGAGACCGACACGGAAACTCAACAAGGCAGCCAATCAACGCATCCCTGGTTATGGTAAACCTGGCGTGCTTGAATCCATCACAGTGCGCTAGGAACCGTGGTCCGAAAGGCTGCCAACTGAAGGGATAAATCGGTCTTTATGATGAGAATTTTGGATTGAATGGAGGGCTGTGCGTCGGGAAGCAATGATCGCTTAATGCGGCCTCCATGGCAATCTCACACACGTGAGATCTGAGCCGCCCTCAGTGTACCATTTCAGATGTAGTTATGGCACGCATACACGACCTTCTAGTATTCTCAACCACTACGTCTACGCCCACCTCCAGTCACCCTGGCACTGTCTCATTGTCGGAGCAAGATGAACGAGGGGAAAGAGAAACCACATTCAGAAACCACAATCCGTAAAAAATGACTACTTAAGTAGCACGAATGTTTCATTGATTTTCGATACCCTTAAAATATAATTATATTTCTTAGGAAACATACATAAAAATATTCGTTCTTTTGCTCATTCGGTAGAAAATTACGCCTTCTTTAAATTTTATACTTGAAGGAAGGGCATAGTACGCTTTTAAAAAAGTTTCCGATTATGAGATTTTTTAATACCGTGAAATGTCCGTTCATCAAATATCCTGTCTCTGCATTTACTGACGTTGCTTGTAATATTTACAGTATGTCTCAAATCCACTGCTACACTTTATAAACCCCATATGATCTACTTTCAATACCGTAGAGAAATGTATGGTTTTCAGTACGCGGAAAATATACGGCTTGTAGTTTGGAAACCCTGAATACAATTGCAACGGCAGATCGGATTCAACATTATTCGGGAATTAGAAAAGTGTTTGAAAGCCGAAGTATACCTTTTTTCGAGCATAAAATTGAAAAAAGAAGTAATTTTCAACTGAACGAGTAAAAGAATGGATATTTTATGCGTATTTTATATGAAACATAATTGAATTTTTAAGGACATCGAATATCGATGAGAAAAATTCATGCTACTTAAGCAGTCATTTTTTACAGAGTATGGTTTCTGCATGCGGCCAGAAAAACGTTCGTTCAAAGGTTGGCATCCTGAGGTAACTGGATTATTATAGAATTATGCTGCATGATAATTAGTTTTACAACCCTACTTAAGTAATCCTCTCGAAACGAAAACGCATTTCGGAATTTCGGCTGACATTTCATGAGTTGCACACCTACTGTATGTATTTATTGATGGTTGTGGGTGAAGTCCTTGGTGACCCTGGTTTATTTATGTTCCCATCATGCTTTTTGTTGTGGTCTAGTTTTATCGTATTGCCATGTGCAGTTGTATTTTGTTCCTACAAATTTTGCCATTCTTCCTTATTCACCAACGCTTAACCTGGGTTTGTTGCTCTAACTTATTCTCGAAAAAAGAATACTCTTTTCTCCCAGAGTTTGTGGATGTGGTTGTGAATTCGTGTGCTCGAAATATTTTTTCTGTCGTCCACTATCCACCGCAATGTGCAGCCTAAGAGCTGCTAGATTCAAAAGCATTAATGGGTGAAGCCTCATAACAAAAGTGAAGAAGGCTCAAACTGCTTGAATATTCTGAAATAAAAAAAAAACACATTGTTGCAAGAACACCGACAGAATATGAAGAATTTGGTAAAATGGATAAACAACGACAAGGGACTGCAGTGGGGGAGAGACTTGTAGAAATTGGGCGCAAATGGGCAGTATTTTTCCCTTATTTCGACAGTAGCGAGAGTGAGCACGTGCCTGCACAACAGTGCTCACGGAGTCAAGACGACGAGAAAGGCAAGTTTAGTTTCTAATTTAGTGTGCCCTCGTGAGTTCCACAAGGAATCAAGCTGGTTCTTGCATTGGAAGCACGCGGACGACAGGACTGTTTCGTCGGGCAGCCCGTCTAATGGTCTCATTACGAGCTGCAAAAGGACTTGTTGTGGCATTTAAGTCCGTTTTGTTTTAATCAGTTACAATACGCTTTATAAAGAACTTGACACAACTTTGAATGAGACATAGAACAAGCACGTGCATTTTTACCTGCTGATGACTTTGTTCTCATTTACTAGTTTGTAACTGTTGGGATACTGCTTTCTTCGTTTCCTGTATAGCCTACTCACTGTGCCCAACTAATGGGTTGATCACTTACATTAATGACCCTGTATCATTCATAGCTCCTTCTGTTTAATTTCTGTGCATAACTATTTCCATTCGGATTAATCCTCACTCTACTTTTTATTGATTAGATTATTTATCTAGCCCATATTTGCTATTCACGCTGTCTCACCTTTTCATCCAATACGAGTGCTACCCTTCAATCTTACTGTCAACGCGCCAGTCATCTACCCCAATTACCTGACCTCTGACCGGCATCGGCTAATTACGTCCAACGATTCTACCAGCCAGCCGATAGCCGGCATTCACACCTTTGACCTGCCATCCGTGTGGCTTGCTGACATCGCGCTGTGGCTTCGCGTTGCAGAGTCCCGTTTCGCTCTCCGTCAGATTACACGAGAGGATACGAAATCTCTCTATGTTGTGGCAGCCACCGACCAATGTAAGTGATGAACCCACTAGTTGGGCACAGTGAGTAGGCTATCCAGGAAACGAAGAAAGCAGTATCCCAACAGTTACAAACTAGTAACTAAGACCAAAGTCGTCAGCAGGTAAAATGCACGTGCTTGTTCTTGATCTCATTCAAAGTTGTGTCAAGTTCTTTAAATGGCGTATTGTACCTGATTAAAACAAAACGGACTTAAATGTCACTACAGACTTGTCTGTCGCATTTATTCCTGCAATTGCGTCTTCAGCAGTTGTTACGGAGCCCTCGGGGATTGTGCTTAGGACTACGGCAGCAAGCTAGACGAACGCCTATCTCAGTGTACCGAAATCCGTCTAACATGGGACACTACAACCTCTCAGTATATTTTAAGTTGACCATAAAATGAATAGAGAAAAGTTAGTTATTATTAAGTCGGCCCTTACGAAATATGTCAACAAAATTAAACTCAAAGCAAGGCATCAGGTCAAATTTGCAAACCTCCATTGCGGATAACCTGCTTGAGGTAGCGTGTGGGTAGCACACTTAATTCTGTATGAGATTAATGGAATTGGTCTCTCGCGTCAGCAATGACATCGGTATCCAGTCCCTCTCAAAGCAGCCGGGAGCTCCATACTATCCAACAGGCAAAGAATTCGGACTATGTTATATAACTAATGAGGATCATTATTGAACAGACAGATATGCTGCTACCTGAATCGACATTGCACGGTCTTCAAACATTCCATAATTAGAAACCTTTTTAAAACCGAAAAATACCCTTTCTTCGAGATAAAAAATTCCAGGAAGACATGACCTGCCACCAAATAAGTACAAAAAGGAACATTTTTGTGCACGTTTTTTCCAAAATATTTTGGGCTATATAAGGGCTTCGAAAGTCGATGGAGAAAGTGCACACTACTCAAGCGGTCATTTTTTGCCAACTGCATTTATAGGTTGCCTCATGTAAGGAGCGTGACAAATGAGTCTCTCATGCACACTCTGTTGTGAAAAAGACGAAGAGGACCAAAGGAGAATGGCAAGGAAAAGAGAGGTGCAAACGAAAAATGACGCGCACTAAACTATGTGGGGAATTGTTAGCCGAGAGTCGGAATTTCTGGGATGAAACATGCAAAAGAATATTCCGATAGGATGACAGTTTGGCCTTCTAGGTAAAGTCTCAGCACCGAGTATGGAAGCGGAAAGTCGTTGCACTTGTTAGTAGACTGAGGGCCAGTGAACCATTACTCTAGCAACTCGCGGCTCACGCGGTTGTCACTCCTAGCGAGAATTTCGACCTCGTCGAATTTAAATGCGTGGCCGCATCTCTTCGAATGACCCCCGACTTGAGAGCTGAGACGTCATTTCTCCGCGTTGCTGCCGCATGTTCGACCATTCGCGTTCACCTCGCGGGGAGCGTACAGTTTGACCTTCGTTACCGACGATGTCTACCATGTGTCCCACATCAGCGTGGGCGCGGCGACGATAACCTGCGTTGCGTCTGCCGCACTCCCTACTCTCTCCCTCTCCTGATCCCGGTGTCAAGACAGAGTCCAGGGGGCCAGAGACGAGATCGGGCGCAGTGACTGATAGAGATGAACGTTCGATGGAGCAGGTTTTTACGCAGACTCAAACGATTCCAATAGAACATTAATCATAAAATAAGGTGAACCTCAAATTCCTGTAAAATCTTTTTTCAAATCTCAAAACTTGACTGTTAGGGGAAGGTAGAGGGGAGACGCCAACAAGGGAGTAAGAGCAACAGAGTCTAAATGCACACTCAGTCTTGACTGAAATAATAACCTGCACGGGATTGCCTTCATTTCAAGTCAAGGTTTATTCTACAAGACAGAAGGAAGAACGCTTAAAGGGAGAGGAGGGGGTTGCAACTGTGAGCAATATAAAGACGTACCAATGAGGTAAATTTGTCAACAGTAAGACCGACAATAAATTAATATAAACTGGTAGTCAGAAGCCAGCCCAAATTCGCGCGTTACTGAACTCTGTATTTCCCGATATTCAGTTCACCATGGAAGCCTAGAACAACAATCAGATCGCGTTCCTAAACGTTCTGGTTCACCGAAAGGCCAACGGAAGCCTTAAAACGACGGTCTGCAGGAAGGCCACTAACACTCGACAAGTCCTGTCCTACCTCCCCTATCTACGGCGGATGTTCACCTAAAACGGTTATCCCCGCAGCCTTATAGAACGAAACAGACTGTCCAGACCAACCATACAGCTAACGGCAAATCAAGTGAAAGTCTGGCGAGCGCTGCCATATATATAGCGAACGTTTCCGAGGCAGTTGCTCGTATATTGCAACCATTGGGTATCGGCACCGCCCACAAGCCCGAAGCGACATTTAGACGTCTGGCTATGAGATCAAAAAAAACTCTGCCACGGGGCAAAACAGTTAAAGTCCTCTATCGGATCCAGTACAGTTCCTGCGAAGCGAACTACATTGGAGAGACCGGGGAAAGATGCGGACCCGCATGGACGAAAACGCAAGAGCGGTACGAAGAATGGATCTGCTCTCGCTGGTGGCAGAGCATTGCGCAGTTTTTGGCTATGCCTTCGCCTTCCAAGACGCCGAGGTCTTGAGCCAAGGGAGCGACCAAACGGTAACGAAGGCGCTCGAGGCATGGCATAGCATAACCACCTCGATTAACCGCTGCGTAAATTTGCCGGCTGTTTACCAAGACCTGCGGGTGAAGTTCAGTAAGCAGGACTACTGACGAGGCGTCAGGGCAGCGGCCAAACCCAGACCAAACGAGAACACGGACGGATATAAACAGGCATCGGAGACAGACGAAAACAGGAAGCAGCCGGCGGCGAACACAAACCCAGGAGACCACCTACAGGGTCTGAACGCAGACAGACGTGAGCACTCGAAGAAAAGGAACGACAGTGAGAGGGGCCCCAAGCCCGACGTCAACACTGGCGTGGCAACCACCGTGGACACGGTTACGGGCGAGTGTGGACGGGGCAGGAAGGCGAGATACGTGGGAGACGGACAAAGGACAATGCAGACAAGAGCAATGACCGTGGTCACCCTGACGCCGTCTCCCTCCCCACACCCGACAGATGATGAGGAGGGGCGGATGCCACCATGACAACAATCGCCACCCGCTGGAAGTCAGTGACACGCCGGCACGAAGAAACCCTTAAATACTGTGACGTGTCGTAAGCAACCCACTTCCGATGATGGAAGCTTGTCTGCTTTCGAAACGTCAAGCCAGTGAAACCATGGTTCCTACGATCGCCTTACCTTCTCGTACAGCGAAAGACCGACGGAACCCTACATACATCGGTTTACCGCAAAGACACTTATTCGGAAATCATTCTACCTTACGAAAGCAATCAGCCAATCTCTCACAAACGGGGTGCTGTCAACAGTGTGCTTAATCGAGCAAAAACACACTGTTCTGATTAAGAAGGCTATCGAGATGAACTAAATTTCTTGTGTGAATTGTTTTCCCGGAATCGATACTCTAGAGATTTTGTACGCCCATGCATGAGGCAGAAAGAGTCGAAGAGGAAGGAACCGGGTAATCCAAATCAGACGTGCGAAACAAAAACTTGGCGAACACTTCCTTACATTAAAAATGTGACCGAACTCGTTGAAAGACACTCAAGGAAGCACCAAAGTCAGGTGGCGCACCGACCGATGAGTAATTTGCGCACTCAGTACGTGCACCCTTAGGATAGGGTTAACTATCTGGACAAAAAGAAGTCGTTTACAAGATCCCTCGTGATGCATGTACTGCCGTCTATTACGGCCAGACTGGAAAATGCGTCTCTACACGCATTCACGCACATCAGTTGGTAGTGAAGAGGCGAGACCTCCTGTCTCAGGTAGCCGTGCACACCCTGGACACCGGACACACTTTCGCTTAGTAAAAAACTCGTATTGTTACTGTGTGCCCCTCCAAGAAGGGCCGGGAGTTCCTCGAGGCCATGCACTCAGACGAACCATGCATCGACCGGCACATCGAGTTGGATGCCGCGTACAGAAATCTCAAGGAGAAATGGAAGAAGCGAAGGCCAATCACAACGAACTGACACACACAACAGCCGCTTACTGGCACGAATGCCAATCGATTATGGATTTTTTAAGTGCACTTCAGATGTTAAATGTGCTGGCGCATTTGTTCTCCGTCTGTGTCTGACGACGACCCGGGGAACTGGTGCCGAAAATGTGCACAATAAATTTCCTTCCCACAAAGCACATACTTAACTCCGACTTATATTTCTTGGGATGCCTACCTTTCAACATACGCGCCCCTCTGCCACAGACTGGACTAATTTGACAATCGGGCGAGAACGCATTTACGGCGCCACCGGAACAGGCACCGAAGTCCCTTGAGCAAGGGCGTGTCTGCGTCGGCCTTGAAGTTGATTGACCGGTTTGGATATCTGTGGTTGGCCGGGAGCGAGGCTGCCACTAGGACGCGGTCGAGGCAGGGTCATTGCGCAATCAGTTATGACATGTGTATAAGGGAAAGACAATTGTCTCTGCCACTTCTCCATGTTAGATGAGGCCAAGCAACGTGAAGGAGGAAGCAAACTTATGGCAGTCCGCGCCTCCTTGATCCTCGCCGCTTTGCCATGCGGTCCTTCCGTCTGCTTCACTCCCCCTGTCGATTCGGCGCCGGGGCCGTGTGAAGCTTGTCACTAGCTTCGCGAGTGCTCGAGGTCAATCAACGCTGTCCTCGTCTTTTTGACAGGCGGACACTGAGACAGAGCGAAAGGCGCACACACGCGCTGGGGTCCAACCACCTCAACGGCAGACAGAGACCCAGCTTGCCTGGGGAGATCACTTGCGGTAAATGCTTGCAGAGCCTTGTAGACGCACTCCCTCAGCAGTAAAGGTTGTCCAATCAATCCTTCTTCCCTGACTTCTGATTTAGGAACCTTTGACTTGTTGACCATTGCACCATTTCGACAGTCGGTGACCCATTGCGAACAGCGATCTTCTTCCTTACCAAACTACGATATAGTCAAGCGTTGACAATGGACAATTTTCTACTGGAAGTGCAGCGTGTTTTGGCATTTGCTTCTGGCATTCTTTCGACCGTACAAATTACCCAGCTGGCTGAACGGCTTATGGAGATGCGCGGGTTTTCCAAGCCATCACCTTCTGCTCTCTCGACTTCCTCAATTGCCTCTTTGTCTCCCATCTTAGACCTGAAGTCTGAGCTTGCGAGGCTTGTCCAAGATATCGCTTCTATTCAAAACAGGCGGTTTCCTCATCATCCCGGAGCCCGCTGAGGGCATCTACCCGGCGAGTCCAACCTACACAACCAGCTCTTCTCAACACAGCCACCGCCTGCTGGTATCCCACCACCCTTGTTGTTAAGGCACGTCGCTGCATCTCTCCCTGTTCATTCATCTCCCATCACAGCAAACGGGTCAGTCCGAAGGTCAGTGTGTCCAATCTTCTTGGAAAATCTAGCCTTGTTTGTACCTTATACATCTGTGACAATCGGAACAGCAGGCGTTTCTTGGTCGACACTGGTGCACAGTTGAATGTCTTCCCTCTCATAGCCGCCGACTGTCAGTGCCCCAATCCCGGCTTCTTCCTCCAGACAGTCAACCCTTCGCCGATTACCACCTTCGAATCCTGCCCTCCCTCCGTGGGCATCGGCCTACATCGTCCTTTCCATAGGGTCTTCGTCGTTGCTGACATCCCGATTGTCATTTCCGGTGCAGACTTTCTCACCGTTTTCGATCTCCTGGTCGACTGCCGTCAGTCCCGTCTACACGATAAGACCACCAACTGCATTGTCCGAGGTGTCTCTTCTTCTGACGCTTCCCGTCATCTCGCCGTCCTGGACCCTGAGCCCGTTAATCCACTTCGGCAACCCCTCCTCAAATACCCCAGCCTCACTCGTCCCAGCTTTAGCGCCGCGATTCCACCACATGACGTTGTTCACCGCGTCCGGAATACTGGCCCTCCCCCGTTTTCGCGACCCCACTGTCTCTTGCCTGTACGTCATGCTGCCGCAGAGGCCGAGTTCGAGAACATGCTTTAGATGGGTATCATCCGTTAATCTGAAACCCCGTGTGCCTCGCCCTTTCCCAAAGGCCGCCACTGGTAACTGGTGGCACTGCGGTGATCACAGGGCCCTGACCAACGTCACCGTTCCGGACCGCTACCCTGTTTGACATTTTCGAAATTCTCCCACTGCCCTAGTCGGCAAATCTGTGTTCTTGAAGGCTGACCTGGTCCGTGCCTTCCAGCAGATTCCCATCGCCCCGTGGGACGTTTCGAAGATGGCTGTCACCACTCCCATTGGCCTCTTTGAGCTCCTGCGCATTCGTTCGGACTCCGCAACGTCCCCCAGACCTTCCAGAGGTTCGTAGAGAGGGTGCTTCGAGGCCTGTCGTTTGTCTACGCCTAGACAGACGACCTGTTGGTAGCCAGTTTCACCGCGTTGTTCTCAGCTCGCCCAAGCGCGTCTTTGGTGTTTCTTCTCTCGAATTTCTCGGACATCTGGTTGACTCCAAGGGCATCCATTGTCTTTCATCGAAGGTTGTGACCATTCGTGATGTCCCACCTCCCTCTTCCAAGCGCCAGCTGCAGTGATTCCTAAGCATGGGGAATTTCTACCGCCGGTTCCTCTCGCACTGTGCCGACTTCATTCTGTCGCTCACTAACCTCCTCTCGGGCCCCAAACGTTCGTTCGAGCTGTCTGCAGAGGCCCTCGCTGATTTTGGCAAGGTGAAGGCCGTCATGGTAGCTTTCACACTATGATTGGAATCCGGCAGCTGATTTATGCTAATGACATCGCCTTCGTTCACGGCAAGGTGTCGGAAACTGCGCTTCCTATTCGTTGACGCGATGAGTGCCACAGGAAAAACAGGCAGATGAAATTGAAAAGGGCCTTTTCGTGAATATTGGAGTTCGATCGCGTCAGGTGGTTGCACTTTGATCACATCGGGTCCACTGAGACCGCAGCAGGACAAGCTGCTAAGGAAACCCTAACTATTACGACCTGGAGGCCCGGTATCGAATCCAAAGAGAAGACGGACGCCAGTCGGGAGGATTGTATACTCTGTATAGAATATCTGAAGAAGGGGTTGGGGAGAGTTCGCAGCCGGACGAGGGCACTTTTGGTGCTGGGTGAGCAGCGTCTCAAACGCGAGTCAGGTAATGCGTCAAAGCGTCCTAGGACAGAGCACGTCTGACTCAGCCTTGAATCTGATTGGTCAGTTGGAAAGCCAGGCAACCCTGGTGCACACGTGTTGACACCCCTGAGAGGCCCAGCGCTGTGACACAACAAATTTACGCATTTACAGTTCTCGTATTGGATACCGTCAAAAACAAAGTCGGCAGGCTTTGAGGAGCACGAGACCGCCAAGGTAAAAGGACAGAACATTTCAAGAGATCCTTACGGAACTAAATTCCTTAATTGGAGTCACCCTGCTGAAAGACACAGTCAGTGATCACTCATGAAATGTTAACGGAAATTCTGAAATGCGTTTTCGATTTAGAAGGATTACTTTGGTGGATTTATGTGATCGATCATCGAGCAGCATAATTCCAAAATATTTCAAACATACCAGGATGGGGACTCTTGAATGCACTTCTTTTCGACTGCCCAAAAGTACCACAGTCGTTGAAAGTGACTAGATAAGTAGCGTTCGTTTTTCATTCGTTTTATATCCCCCTATAAGATCAAATGCGTTTTATAGAAAACGTATAAAAATATACTTTCTTGTGCATTTTCGATAGAAAATACTGTCTTCTTCAAATTATATCTTTAAGGAGAGGGTATATTTGGGAATTTAGAGTTTTCCGATTTTCGATTAATTTTTGTCCTGATCTGCCGTTGCATTTACGTTTATGGTGTACGTTCTACAAGCCGCATATTTTCTGTGGAAGGAAAGCCCTACATTCCTCTGTGCCATTTAAATGATACCATATAGGGCTCGCGAACTTTTTATAATGGACATGGGTTTACACTTCATGAAGAGCATTAATAAACGGACAAACGCGATGCTAATTGAAGGGAAATTCCACGGTCTTAACAGTCCTATACTTACAGCCTCATTTAAAACCGTTAAATAACTTTTCCTCGAGTATAAAATTTGAAGAAGACATAATTTTCTACCAAGAAAGCGTTATTTTTGACCATGTTTTCTCAACATGAAGAAAAATTCATATTAACTAAGCATTCTGTATTTACAGAGTGCGATTTTTTGTCATGGGCCCAAAAGGAGTGCATCCAAAAGCTGCCATCTTGGTGTGATGGAAATATCTTTGGATTATGTTACATGATAATCAATAGTACAGCCCCAACCAAGTAATCCTTACCAAATGGAAAGACATTTCACAATTTCGGTTAACATTTCATGAGATCGATCTCTAACTGTAGCTGTGAAGGCTGATCATACAGTTCCAGGTGAGCGCGGGGATTGCTGTGGACAGCCACAATGACCTCCTGGCGTCCTTCTCCAAGGCCCCTCTGTCCCAAGGTCGTCCACACCGCTTCCAGTGAGTTGTCCCGGACGCACTGACCTGAACCTACTCGGCGGTCTTCAGCTCGGAAACACCTGCGTCCACACATTCGGGACTGTCTATGCGACCACTTGAACGCACCTCCCTTCTGCAGCCACAACATAAGCCACTTGAACACCACCCCTCGGCGAATGCAACACACCCACTGGGCAACCTTTCAGACTGTCCCACAAACCCACAGAAAAAGCTGCCACCGGTCTGTTGGGGACCATCAGACATGCCTGGATGCAGTCAATACCAGTCCTGGCTTCGCAGGCGGCCACTGCAGCCTTAAAGGACAACTCAGGGTTCTGCGTGCAGTAAACCCCTCATTCTGGTGACTTCTGTCTTTCCCCTACAACACAATTTCACAATTTCGGTATACATTTAACGGTCCTAAAAACCTCATAATTGTAAATTTTTTCAGGACCAAAAGATACAATTTTGAGTACAAAATTTGAATACCATACGATTTTCCAACAAATGAGGGCAAACAAGAAAACACATTTTTGGATATATTTTTTGTAAATTACAATTGAATTCACAGGGACATGGGAATTAGTTGGAGAAACTCATACCACTTAGTAGCCATGCAGTGTCAAGTACGATTTTTGCCGTAGTCCGAAAAGAAGGTGAGATCGCAGTTGGTACCCAGAAAGGGCGAAGCGGGCGGCGAGGTCCCTGTCTTACGGGAATGGTGGGAAAAGGGGTTATACGGGCAGGGTAAATGGACGGACTGGTAGAAGAATGCTAACCTTAACCCTGACCTTAACCATAACCCTAACGTTAACCCTAAGCCTAACCTTAACCCTAACCCTAACCTTAACTTTAACCGTAACCCTAACGGGAAACTTAACCCTAACCGTACCCGAAATCTTAAACCTAACCGTAGCCCTTAAACATAGTCTTAACTCCAAAACTTAACCGCAACCGTGATACTGAAACCTAGTCGTAAACTCTAACTCTAACCCGTAAACCTAACCCTTAAGTCCTAGTCCTGACCGGAAAATCGAAAATCATAAACCGGAACCCTAATGCTAACCTCAACATGAAACGGAAGCCGAATGTTCTAACCCTAAGCCAGAAAACCATAAACCTTACCCTAAAGCCGTGCCCCAACCCTACAGACAAACCATAATCGTAAACCTAAACTCTAACCCTAACACTGGAACTTGACCCTAAAACGCAAACCCTAATCCTAAAACTTAACCTACGCCTAACCCTAACCCACACTAAACCCAACAGCCGGACCGAAAGGGACGACCTGCCTAATTCAGTAGAAGCACACCTACTGATAACAAGTTCCCTAGACAAGGTAAGCACACCTACAGATAACAAGTACGTCGCCAGTATAATGTCTGGCTACCAGCTGTGATCTTACCGAAAAGAAGTTCACTCAAAAGCCGCCATCCTGGCGTGACGGGAATATTTTTGGAGTATGCTGCACTATAATCAATCTTACCACTTCATTTGAGTAATCCTTCTAAATCGAAAACGTGCGTACCAGTGGCAGTCTGATCCTCGGCTAGTCACAAGTATCTAAACCGACCGACTTAGACATGCCCGGGTTGCCTGGTCTCACGGCGCCCGGAGGACGTGCGTCCCTGTCTGGCTGCAAAACGTTCTAATCTGTTATCCAGTCATTGTTTACAGAATGCAGTACTTCATATACTGGCGTTTAACCACCCATCTTTCAATTCGGGACCGTGTCTGAAGATCGTAGTGGAAAGGGTCATCCTACAGTTAAGGCTACCGCGTCAAATTCCCCGTTGAAAAGAAATTCGAACCTACCACGACAAGCTAAGCTTCGTGGTTGAGAAGGTTTGCAGACGACTGAATAACTCGACTCTTATTTGAAATGACGGCCAGGCTTTAAGCTCTCCATAACGCGACCCCTATGTGGCCTGAAATTGCCCATAGAACGCACTAGATGACAAGCAACTTCGTGACACACGGGCCACTGCATCCAGTCTCACTACTGCCTGTTTTGCTTTATAGGCGATATTGCGGTCATCCATGACTGTCCCACAAAGTGAGCGCAAGAACGACTTGTGCGTGATTGTGCTTGTGGTGAAGACGACTTTCAAAGCGCCTGCCTCACCTTCTGTGCAGACATCCACCTTACCCCTGTGGCAAACGAAAGTCAGTATGGTGGGTGCGGGTGACAGAGTCAGACACCCCACATACGCGTGCCACACCGGGGCTCGTTCCTAGCCCACATATGCCAGGCTGTATACATGTAGGGGAGCCTCTGATCTACTTTAGAAAAAGATGTCATAGGGGCTAAGTTAAGAATGCTTGTTGAAGCTCAAACTCAGTCCTAAGTAGTTAGCAAGCTTCTAAGTCGATGGCTCACGGCAGAGGGCTGGATGAACTGAGTATCTCAACTTTCATCATTATAGGCAAACAAAAGTAATTTGGAGAGGACAGTGTCCAAGTGTCCAAGCAATTGAACCTTCTTCCATGAGAGCCTAATGGAACGTTTAAGTAAGAGGGCATTAATCGCCTCCTATTTAGAGATCAGGCTAGAAAAGTTACCCGAGGGCAAATGCTCGCTAACGTTGACCACAGAACTGCCTTTGCTTGCCGACCACGTCATACACAGTCGAATCACAACAGACCAAATCAATTTCCATCCTCCGCCACAGTAGAGTGATTGCAAATACACAGAAACTTGTAATATCCGTTTCATTTTAAATTAGCCAGTGATCAGTCGGCAGGGGCGAAGGCCCGTCATGACTGCATAATGTAAAGGACAAGTTCCACTCCCTGCTCGTGCCTGTGCTGAAGACAAACGAATTGATCATTTTACGTGACCCCATTTGGGACAGACCATGCTATCTGGGTGGGGGGGGGGAGTGATTTTGGGGACCTGCAATAGCCCCTGACTTCTGCTACCGAAAATGGATGAATAATACTATCTGCTCGTCTCCAACACCATCTTCTGCACTTCTACATGACGGAAAAAAGACCACATGGGTGTGGTCTCACTCACGCCGCTTGTAACACCTGGACTGCGCTCGCGTCGGAGGCAAGACGACCTTGATATACTCGTTGCAAAGGTAGAGTAGATGTGCTAACTCATG